AAGCAACTATCGAAAATTTTCTGTTGTTTGTTGTAAAAAATGTCGTCCCTACGACTGTATTGGTCGGTATTGTATTACAGACGGCGATTGTGGTGGGAAAGGGGAATGTTGTAAGATAACAAATGTGGTAACCACACTCATTGCGAGAACTGAATACTGCTGTACAAGGGGCCGAATCCAAGTGTATGCCGAAGAAACTGTCTCTGTGCTCCGAGCCATGCAATGACAATGGAGATTGTACCGGTCCTGCATGGAGAATATTGTTGTAGAGGTATTCGTACATGTCCGAAAAGGTGCTTGGGGAACAAATGCTCCGACAATCAAGAGTGTGGACATGCCTCTGAATATTGTGATCTTTCAGTCCATAAATGCGCCAAAAAACACCCGCACCCAAGACAGAGATTCGACGAATTTGCATGGTGTAAATATTTACATTGAAATACTGTTAATATACTATTGCAATGGGAAACGGTTAATGAACCTTTATGTATAGTTACCCACCCACAGGATTTATGCTGTAAAACGCTACTATATTGGTTAAATTGATGGGTTCATGTAAGCTCTCCATGCACTATAAAAGCATATTTTCAAGAAACTGGTCGTGCTGGTAGGGATGGCAGGCCTGCATCAGCCACTTTGTACTTGTACTGCAACAAGCAAAATATATTTCAAAAACCAGAGTGTTTTGTTCCAATAATAACATTTGCATTAGGCTTCTCTCATTGAAAGCACTTGACTATGAGCAGAAGAAGCCTATCCAGCCACACCGTCTTTGTTGTAGTATTGCAAGCAGTGTGAATGTACAGAATATGTGCATGGTGTTGCCAATAATGGGTCATCCTCTATTTCCTGTATGGTAAACAGCACTTTTGAGATATATTTGAGATATCTCGATTCCCACCGCGGTCAAGTAGAATTTTCTGCTTGCCCGGTTGGTCATACTTGTGCAGAAGAACAAATACACCTTACATACATATATATATATATATATATATATATATATATATATATATATATATATATATATATACCGGGTGTCCCAAAAAAAACTTTACCTCTTTGTCTTAATATAACTCAAAAACGAATAAAAGTCATTAAATTGAAATAAACTCCACTGCATGCAAGCAGGGCTAACTTAGATTTTGATATATAACACTAAATTATTGATGCGATATTTACGGAGATACAAGCATTTGATGTCGCAAGGTACTTTCAAAATCTGTGCAAAATTGACAAAAATCGGCTATTAAATTATTTCTAAACTAATACTTTAACTTTTACGTTTTTAACTTTAGTGATTTTAACTTTAAATGTACGCTTTTCCATTGCAAACTTACTCTTATATAAGAGCGAACAATTAAAGTTAAAATCGCTGAAGTTAAAAACTTACCACGGGAAGTGGCATGTAAGTATTTTCGAATTAATTTAATAGCCGATTTTTGTCAATTTTTCACGGATATTGAAAGTACCTTGCGACATCAAATGCTTGTATCTCCGTAAATATCACATCAATAATTTAATGTTATATATCAAAATCTAAGTTAGCCCTGCTTGTATACAGTGGAGTTTATTTCAACTTAATAGCTTTTATCGTTTTTGAGTTATATTAAGCCAAACAGGTAAAGTTTTTTTTGGGACACCCGGAAAAAAAGTACTCCGGTTTGATTCATAATCGCTTCTAAACTATATAGCTAAGCTATTAAACTGAAATAACTTTCACTAGATAGAGGGAAGACTAACTTAGATTTTGATATATTACATGCAGTTGTATTTTACTTAAAAATTTACGGAGATATCAATGTTCAAAATTGGTAGCATATTTCCATGGATGTGTCTAAATTATATGCAAAAAACGCCGTATAAAATATTAATCAAGCTTTTCTCAACTGAAACTGCACTATTAGCAGTAAATAATGCAATATGCGACTTTTTTCTTTGGGGATATCTTATAAGCAGCAAATTTGGAATGTATCACACAATCAGCAACCACAGAATTTAGAAGAGCTTCGCAACTCAATCGTAACAGCATGCCGTAATCTAGAACAACGAATGATCCATGACTCCTTCGACGCAATGGTCTCACGGGCTAGGCAGTGCATTCGTGTTGGGGGGACACGCGATTCCGAACGAATAAATCTTCCTTGTTTTCTGTAACTAATAATACTTCGTTTCATAATAAACAATTTGTCAAGTGTCATTTATTTACTGCTAATAGTGCATGTTTCAGTTGAGAAAAGCTTGATTAATATTTAATACGGCGTTTTTTGCATAATTTAGACACATCCAGAAATATGCTACCAATTATATATATATGCTACCAATTATAGAAATATGCTACCAATATATATATATATATATCATATGGCTGCTAGACAGATATTAGCTCATATCTGTCTAGTATAGAGAAAGTAAACAAAATGGTGGAAAGATTTGGGAGTTAGTGAAATAGAAATCCAAGTCTAGTTGATAATAGCACACCAAAATGCACCGAAAGGGCGACAAAGTTTGTGTATATATATATATATATATATATATATAATTATATATAATTATATATATATATATATATATATATATGATATCATAATATAATACTACTATAGACACATATATTTAACAGTTATTCTGCGAACTCGAGTCGTATATCGGCTGATAGCCGATGAGGCGCATAGCGCTGAGTTGGCTATCGGCTATATACGACGAGAGTGAGCAGAATAACTGTTTTATTATATACACAAACTTTGTTGCCCTTTCGGTGCATTTTGGTGTGCTATTATCAACTAGGCTTGGATTTCTATTTCACTAACTCCCAACTAACTTTCCACCATTTTGTTTACTTTCTCTATACTAGACAGATATGAGCTAATATCTGTCTAGCAGCCAACCAATGAAATTGCAGCATACCTCATATCTGGCGCAGGTGTATATAATAATATATAATATTTGTCCCCAAAGCATGGCATTTTCACTCGATCCGACCAAAGGATCGTCATCTGAAGCATTGGGTGGTACGTATACATGTGAAGCAGGTTGATCACATCTGGACCTACGTCCTATAGCAGGCATGACCATATCACTGGATGAATGCTTATAGGGATATTATCAACTGCACAAGTTGTAGACGTGAAAGATTGTGAGGTGGGTTGTGCAGTAGAATCAATGGAAGAGCAAAGACCATGGCAGCAGAATAAATTTCATATGTCCGTTTTTCCAATTGATCTAGGACATCCACTCAATCTGAATTTTTTTTTCATATTTCAGTAGAATAAGCATGGTAATACCTTAAGATTGTGTTGCCATTTCCTTGGCATGGAGGTAATCAGTGGTTTGTGAGACAAAAGGTTTAAATTTGTTAAAGGCAGGGAAATGGTCAAATAAAAGTTTTGCAATTAGTATTTTGTACCGACTTCTAATTGACTCCATATCTGCATGCTTGGTTGAGTTTTGCCAACTTGGTAACATTCCGTAATCTGGCAAAATCTCCAACAGGTACCCTACTGAATACAATGCTTGTTGCTACAGCATAACACTGGCATTTTGGGATTCTGTTCTCATGTCATGAACCTTTTCTTCCTAAACCATGCATTGCTGCAACACGATCAATAAATTTTTTGCCAATATCATCAAGTATTGTATACTTCTTGGTTGGATCAAGGCACATACCATACTTGTTAAGCCTAGAATTAGAATGTTATGTATAGCATTTAGATCAATATAAACCTATTGTTAAGTAAATATATTACACTTCCCCTTTACGAGCAGAAAAATCCATAATTTAAGGCTACATTACACAATGCAATTTCCCTTGCAACTTGCAATGCAATTGTAATTTTGAGAGATGTTAATTGCTGAAGAGGGTAAAAAATGTAAGCGTGCAATATAATATGGCGGGTGCTTTCTTTCCAACGTTTTAGCTGTATTGCAGCAGGCTTGACAGCTTGATCGGACAACGTGTTGATAGCTCATTCATAACCTCTGCCATCCAATCTTGATTAATGAGGTCAGTAATATAATTTTATATTGTGTGATAGTTGAAGATGTAAAGTTAATATTATTATTACTGTGTTGTAGTGATATGTTTTGCATTTTCATCCATTGTAATGATATGTTTTTCATTTTTTTTACGATTCAAATAAACATACATTCGACTTTCCGAAGCAGACCTAAAAATCCTGGGCCCATAACCTGTTAGGAATTGAGGCCGAAATCGAACATTTAAGCGCCCCGTACAGACGGGCAAGTTTTCCTTGACAAGTTTTCGTGACCAGTTCACTTGCTAGTGTGTATGACGAACAAGTTTTCGTTGACAAGTTTTATTCGCTCGTGTGTACGCGAAAAAATTGGCAAATTTTTATTGACAAGTTTTACGATAAATAATATGAGTATATTTTACGATAATATGAGCCATGATAAAGTGAGTATATGATCGAATCTTAAAACAAACAGAAATGATAAAACTTCAAAAACGCACTCGATTGGCTCGAAGATTGTTGCGCTGTTCCCTGACGGCCGTACACACGAGCATTTTTCCTTGTTGAAAAGCTGGCATGACTAGCTTTTGAACAAGGCTCCTTGTCATTGAAAACTTGTCAATTTTTTCGCGTACACACGAGCAAATGAAGCTTGGCAAGGAAAACTTGCCCGTCTATGCGAGGCTTTAACCGTGTATTTATTCATGATTAATAACGCTATACAAAAACACATAGCTACATCACAGAGAAGAATACAAAAGCTTACCGAAGCATAAATCTATAAGCACATGCTGTGCAATCACGTGACTAATCTGACCACTGACGTCATGCTCTAAATAAGAAGAGATTATATGTGAATAATTACATGTTTAACATTTTCAGCAGCTTTGGTTATAAAATATTCATATATGCGGTCGCACCAGTCAGCGTCACAAAAGGCTTTGATCATTATCCGTTCATGTTTTCCTGGAAAAGCTGTCATAAGAACATTCTAGTAAAGTGAAAGTACATTCAGTGATAAAGATTTAAACATGAAGATGCATTTCTGTTTTTTGTTGCTCCTTGTCGGTTTTTCAGCCGCATTTATTCCAAATTTGCGCTGGAAAGCTGCTAGTGGAGCTTGGTCATCGCTTAATCACAAAATTATCACTCGAGCTGGGCTATGGTTAAGCGTCATTGAATTTCTGAAAGAAAATCCCAAGACAAAGACAGACGAGCTCGCCCGGGTCGACACGGCAAGGCTGCTCGAAGGAAAGGTAAGCAACAAGCTATATCGTCTGGTGAAGTCGCCAAAATTCGAAGACGCTGTAAAAGAAATCGAAAACGCTAATGCAAAGGTCGACAAGTACGAGCAGGACTTTGCTTCCGCGCATTTTGATGCTGAGCAGTTTCGCGCGAGTTGCATGCGTCTTATGACTTTCAAGAAAGAAGTTATTGCTCTTATTCAAAAGGCTGGCGACGACGAGGTTGACTATACCGTGGCTAGAAAGACTGCTGGAAAATTGCTTCATACATTGCAAGATTTTTACAGTCATTCAAACTGGGTAGAATCGGGAAGCATTGATCCATTATCGATGTTAGGAGATGAGATTATAAGCGAGAGTTATATAGCGGGTGCTGACGTTAAAACTTGCCGTGACTGTACCCCAGTAGGGTGGAAACGTCCCTTTGGAATTGGGGCAGACGATTGCCAAAATAACTTAGTGAACACGGGGAAACTAACAAGCGGCTACTACGGTGGGCAAGATGTGACTAAACCAGTTGGTGTTGGTAAATGCAGCCATGGTGGCTTTTTGGATAAGTCAAGGCATTCAGATTCGAAAGGAGGCATTAACAAGGATTCTACTCTTCGGTATTTATCGCCACATTACAGGTACGTAAATCGAGTCGCACGCAAAGACTTCTTATAATAGTATTATTGCTGATCTTCGCGTGTCGCGAAAAATAGGCATCTTTAATTGGCGGCTGTAAAGATATACGATATAATGGCTCAACGGCTACGAGATTCGTCGTTTTCACATCGAAGCAAGGTCTTGGGACCCTTACTGATCGACATGCCAACGTACTCGTTGTAGTCAGAACTTTGAATATAGGAGTGTTTTTAAGTGTTAATATATCATTCTCAACAGGCCAATATTTACGACGTTCACGAAATTGCGTACTTAGTTGCATTGCGACATCCTTGGACCATGCACACAGCGTTTGTTATCGGTTTGGCGCCGTTTATTTACAGTATTTTACGCCGTCTAGTGAACCGATCTTCTGTTCGCGTGGTATATGGCGTTTTACATCAGTGTGCTTGTATACTCATGTGTTTTCTAAGAATGGAAGTGCGTGAGTTTTCTAAGAAATGACATTTAAAGAAATCATAGGTGTTTGAGTAAATTTGTATAAATGAAAGTCGATATTTGCAACGAAGGTATTAAATTACAAGGAGGAAGAAGTTACATACATGTGTTTACGTCGTGCCGATTCATGTGTGATGCGCAAGGCTACCACTTGCATAATAGATCCACTTTTGATTTAGGAGACAAAAAGGGATTTCCGAAAAGGGCTTACTAAACTTAGTAAAGTTACCTTACTAAAATTGCCAAGTTTGGCTGAGAAATATTGTGAAGTGCCGAAAATATAGTCAAACGAAGTTGACAAATTTTGTATACTTTTGAATATAATGGCCTTCTTGTGAAATACAGTTAAAATAGGACAATATGCATTGACTATATAGGATTAGGAACATTTTTTTGAAACAACATGAGAAAAGTCATTAATCCTTGCTAAAACCACCCATTGAACGTAAGTAAACATAATTCTCGACCACTGGAAAGCATCAATTATTTTTTCTTTCATACATGACACTTCGTAGGTAGCAGGCATTAGGCTAATGAAACTATAACCTAAATCCCCTGTCACTCGGTGCAATTATTCTTGAAACTTGACAAATTATTCTTTTTAGAGATGTGAATTTTGCAACTACCGTGCATAATTAACAGCGGTTTAAGTGTGAATTTTTTTGCCGAGTTGTTTCATTTTTAGGTAAACGATCTCGTGACTGCGGCTGTAGTGTTGATATAACTTAACTCGAGAACTCAAGTTCGTAAAAACTCAGTATGCTTGATGAATCTGGTCCAAATTAGCTAAATTTCTCCCACTCATGCAGGCTCATATTGCCAGCGGACAAGCTACATAAAATTGAGAGCAGTGCGTAAAATGAAAAACTTCTAATTTTTGATGCGCACACCGCTGGAAAACTGCGCCCTCTGTACTGGGAAAAAATTTACCGAACATGACCAACGTGTAATGCTTTCGAGTCAATCATTCGGATGTGTATTTTCGCGCGTTCGAGCATTTTAAAGGCAATTCTCCATTACCGTTCGTTTCAGCCCGTGCGGGCCATTTCTGTCCATGCGACCGTGACGGGTCTGAAAAACAAAGCGCACTCCGCCCGCGCGGGCGGAGCGGACGCAATGAAGAATCGCCTTAAGTATTACGTTACAAAAAACCTAATTCGATAAAAATATTAGTGAATTTAGTTTAAGTTGTAGGATATTGTTCATAGTGGTACTGTTTAAAATTTTTACTATAAGTTTAAGATTATTTCAAGTTGTGAACCAGTTTTAACATTGATTGATTAAGCAAAAGACCAACTTGACTAGTGCGTCAACCCCTTAAGTAAATAGAATACAAGAACTTGACCGAACTTGTAAAGCTATCCTACATTTATATATATATATATATATATATATATATATATATATATATAATATAATATTATATAATATATATATATATATTCATATTTATATATATATATATATATATATATATATATATATATATATATATATACACCCATTTGCAAAAACGTTGGCCGCAGATAGATAGATAGATAGATACTCGAAGTCTAATTAGAATTGCATATGATTACATTTGCATGGGATTTCAATCATATTACACCACATATGCAATTCTAATTAGATTATCTCTCATAACTCATTTATAATTTTTCAATTTCATAGACTACATCAGCCTGCTGCAAGAGTGGCGATCAAAGCAACAAAATTATTCTTTGACAGCATTCGAAAACATGTTGGCGACGAAAATTTTTCAAAGTTCCTAAACATGAAAGCCCTTAATACGCTGACGTTTGCCATTGATACAACTGGCAGCATGAGTGGTAGGTATTTGTCTTCTGCAAATTTTATTAGCATAGTATACGTTTGGCCCTGTATAGTATAGCTAACAGCAGCTTTTGAGAAAATACGAAAAATGATGCAAATGCATGCATGGTCATGATCATGGTATAAACGGGTACACGTAAAAAGAATTGCAGATTGAAGTCAGTGCTAAGTCGGGCAACTTGTGACTCGGTTCATTTTTGCTGAAATCACTCACCTGTCCCAACCTCTCCCCCCCCCCCCTCAATTGAGTAAGTGTTTCAGATTTGGACGACACTGATGTAAATAATGAACTGAAAACCGAACCGCATGAGTCCACACACCTCATCGCTTCCCGGCCTGCATACTTACAAAAGATTTTGGTATGTCGTTCTCTCATAGATGAAATTGCAGGTGTTAAAAAAGCCACTATCCAGTTTATTGAAGACGCTGCAGCTGATGATCATCACGATTTCCGTTACGTTTTAGTACCATTCAACGACCCAGGTGAGAAACCTTAATAATGGACAGTGGTAATTGACAAGAGATATTGTCTCATTTAAAGGACGTCTAAAATTTTTTAGATCTTTTTTCAAATACCTTACTTCGATCATTTCTGTGATATTTTTTTTAAAGGGAATAAGTTGTCAGCCACCATTGAATGGTTGATCTTTAAGTGGAATTAGCCTTTAAATTGCTCTCATAATACCCAAGGCATGCAGTAACAATTAAATATCGCTCGGTTTTCTTTTCAATTTTCATCCGCAAGTTGGAAACAAAAACGGGTTTCATTCAGATAACGATAAAAGATTGCATGACCTGACCTCATAATCTATGCACCAATCGTCCAAGTTGCCGGGACAGTCCGTTGCTTTTAATCAAAATGTTACCATAAAAACTAGGAAATCAAACAAGAAATCGGCATTCAAGACTTCAAGTATATCGTCATTCACAGCACGGAAAATCCATTGTCACTGCTATCATTGTCACTTCCATTTTAATTTCGTGAATAAATATATTTTGCATCTCATTTACAAAATTAAAGGGTTTTTTTGACAGAAATGTTTTGTTTCTCCTCTGGATACCACATACATCGGGAAAAGATCAATTTGATGTTCTCCAAATTAAAAAATAGTTTTCTTGTAGTTATGCGATGAAAAATATATATAATTTTTTAAAAATCCCAATATATAAGCCACTGAAGTAATTTTCTCGCGTTGTGTTTTGAAGGTTTTGGTCCAGCAATAACGACCGATGATCCTGAAGTTGCAAAACAAGCCGTAAACTCCCTGACAGCGAACGGTGGTGGCGACTGCCCAGAAATGGGAATGAATGGTCTTTATTTAGCTGTTCTCAACAGTTTACCCGACTCCGATATTTATTACTTCAGTGATGCATCCGCGAAAGATGCCTATTTGGTACATGCTGTGATATCAGTCTCGTTGCTTAAACAATGCAGGATTTATCTTTTTATCAATAGCTATTGCAGCAGCCGCAGACGAAGAAGCTTGTCAGCACGGGACGTCTATAAGCAACTAGCCAGCCAAACTGGTGGACAACTCATACAGTATTCGAAGTCTAACATCGATGAAGCTATCAAGCTGGTTCGTCCCGCAAATGTAAGCTCTGAAGTGAAGTCGTTGTTACGAGAAGTCACGCTAATCTCTGTTGAAGCTAATGCTGTTAGCCTCGTAACAAAACTCTACAACGTTCATTGTGACTCAAGCATTGCCTCCATGACGGCTGTATTAAGTGCTGCAGGAAATACCAATGTTAAAGTTGTCCGGCCTAAAGGTACATACATATACAAAGTAATAGGGAGTTAACGATCTACGACGAGGTTATAGCTCGACGTCTCTAGTCAATTATTTGTGAATTGTAAACCCCCTAATATCTGTAAGCATGCTAGGAAACAGAATTGAAATTGATATTTCCTTGCAGTCACCTGAACCTTTTCCTATGTTGTGTATTCAAACTACTCCAAATTTTCTTTCTATCATAGAAGTTAAAGAAAGCTGCGTAATAGAATATATTTTTTAGCCCTGATTGTAGAGAAAGAGGGGATATTTTGCTCATCGTGCAATTTGTAAGAGGTCCCAAAATAATATATTAGTGCAAATTACTATATTTTCTGCAGGAATATAGTACTCCTTCCAAGGAGTCCTTCCGTCCCCAAAGTTCTGGTTTTTGGTATAGAATACAAAATATCAATTTCAGATTCCCAAAACGAAGGAAGTCCCATTTACTGTGATATAATGTCGAAATATTCTTAGAGAACTGTGGGCCTAAACCACTATAAGGATGCTTCTACTTCCCTAAAGAAAAATTCCTGGCAACACCGCCTAAACATCTACGTGGACTTAGGCACCCCACAAAACTTTTACCGACGGGTCCTGCAAAATTTTCTGTGTCGTCCTGAATGCATGCATGTGCTTTTATTCTCGAGCAAAACAATTAAATTTTTTTTTGTTCTTGTTACATTGCCCGTGAAATAAAATCCCTAAATTACGTCATCGAAAATCACCTATAAGCTACGGTTTGTGGTTATAAATTAACGAACGCCGATATATGAACACTTTCAACTCATGTTGATGAACTAGAGTTCAGTCCTTTTGTGATGATGTTCTCTTTGCACACCGTGTTCATTAGCGTTCTTTGTTTTTTGTTTCTGAAAATTAGTTGTGAATAATAGATATCTATCATGAAACCTATGTCTGTTATGTTTTAGATGGCAACGGAACAATTGATATAATCTCACAGACATCAACCTTTTATTCCGTTCGTGTTATCATGCCAACACCCGGGGTGTGGAATTTTACTATAACAGCATCTGGTTCATTCACATTCAAAGTTACAGCACAAAGCGCTCTGGCTTTTACAACGTCTCTTGAAAAAGAAGAATACTCTAGCACCTTTGAGAAGATTCTAGTTCCAGTAACAGGAAACCCAATTAAAGGTCGGGAGCAGCTTTTAGTAATTGTGATGTTATAGAGTGTCATAGAATTAAACTGATGTGCTTCGACAACATCTTATGGAGACAACTGTATAAGTATTGAACACTAAAAATCTTATCATCCATTATCATTAATTCGGTTGTCCATTTTGAAATCAGTAGGGGAACTCGCCTCTTCTCTTCTTCTCACCTGAGGTTTTTGTTCGTTTACGCAGGATTATCGTTATACGTGACCGTGGAACCGACAGAGAATGTACTAACTGAGGATAGAAGCTTCACAGGATACTTGATAGATACGAGAGGAGATTACTTAGAGAGATTCGAATTGCAGAAGGGGGAAGAATTTTTTGAGGAATCGTATTATGGTTCGTTTCAAGCGAAACACGATGCATTTAGGATAATGTATATTGGTTATGGTAAAAATGGAGAAACAATCCAGCGTGTACAACCTCCAGTGATCAGACCACAGGAATTTGAAGTTGAAATATCTGTACAAAACAGAAGCTTGAGTTTAACCCCTAACGAAACGACGTCGATTATTGTAGTTTTGAAAAACTACGGTCCGAATAATACGTTCTCAATTCAGGTGTCCGATGATAAATCATTTGTTGTTTCGTATTCGCCAAAGATTGTCGCAGTAAGAGGCAATGATTCAGTCAATATCCATATCGATTTTCTTGCTCCTTCAAATACCAACGATAGTACAACAACATCAGTGTCAGTTTCAGCCTCAATCCAGTACGGATTAAGAGCTGATCTAGCAAATTTCATCTCGTTTGAAGTTTCAGTTTTCTCGAAGGTAATTTTGAATTTTTCTTGCTCGTTGTTTTTTGTGTTCTTTATGCCGCTATATTATATATTTCACTTTAAATTATTGTAAAATAATTAAAGATTAATTTTTTTCCTTGTCACTATCATATGTCTCAGCAAAACTCGATCATACCATGCTCACAGTTGAAAATCCTACACATTCCCTATCACAATCCCTACACAATCCCTACACACCATCATCTGCTCTACACTTCTGCATGTCTGTGTAATTACACCAGCTGACACTATTCTACCCTCTCATGCGATCAATACCATATAACCACTGTCGAATACTTGTTGTTTTCAGGAGTTTCGATTTGTAAATGAGACTCTCGCCACTTCGAAACAGAACATATCAAGTTTGCTAAACGTTCGTCAGGATGATGGTGAGAGTACTACCATGGTTCCGTCGCATAAGGCTACACCGGGCAATGTCGGATCAGGTAAAAATTGAAGTATGGCACGCTTACATGTACCGCCGATTATGCTGAGCTTTTAAAATAAGTTATAACTCAAGTCACGTTTATTGAAACTGCTGCGATGCCGCGTTCCATTTAACTGACGTTTTCATTCAGAGAAGTCTTTTGAACGTTAATTACGACTAAACAACCATTTTATTTGGTTGCGGGTTGAGTTTCCTGATTTTTCCCTTTTATTTGACCACCTCGTGCAATCGCCAGAAGATAAACTACGGATATAGGTCTAACACATTTTGTCGAAATAAAGAATCAAACGCATGTATTCTAAAAGCTCACTCTCACTGAGTCGTTGAGTGAGAGATCTCAAACTTCTCATGACGTTTCCATGGAAGTGTTTCCTATCGACTAAGAGCTTGATTTTCAGTGTTTTACCTTAATTATTTTCATAATTTAAGAAAGAACATTCAGATTGATCAGTAATAACAAAATCTCGGTGTCACACTCAGTGCATGGGCACGAGTGTACCTTTTGAATACAGGCAATTTTGTGAAGGCAAATTACCAAAAGAGCTTTTCCCCGGAACCAGTTTTGCGGCATCGAACAGGAAAGGTTGGCGCGCTCGTTTACGCATGATTTACCCTTCTTGGCCGGTTACATATACGTACGATGTAGGACTTTATCGCGATAACTGTTATAGATTGTCATTTTCCAGCTGGATAATTTCGCAGTAAATTCTAGTTTGAAATTGTGAGGGTAAATCAATTACGATTTTGTGGCACTTCACTCTAAAATTCTAAAGGTTTTTTTAAAGGTCTTAATTTCGAGTGGAATCATACACAACTAAATTCAAGCCAGGAACAATTGAGAGTTAATTGAGAGAAAATTAGTCCACTTTCGGTCCTCCGGCAGGAATCGAACCAACGCTCATGCGATGCCGGTGCAGTGCACAGTTTCTTGTCGATTCTTACGGTAGATTCCACTGATTTTTATTTCTTTTTGCAGCTAACGATGGATTTCCAATGTATAGGACAATTTTAATTGTCGCTTTCAGCAAGTTCTTGCTCGTGTAAGCCGTGTGCAGTGGTAATTGTTTATTTTTTGCTAAGAAATAGAAAAAGTATAACCATGACTCGTAACATTATATAACCTTACAATATATTTAATAATAATAATAATGATAATAATTATAATCCTGCATGCAAATTAGTGAGATAGCAACCATGCATAGATATATATAAATACATTGTGCATGTAAACATATAAGGAGATAATACTATCAGGGCCGTAGCTAGAAGCTTAATTGGGGGGGTGCATATTCATATATTCGTCTTATGCCCGACTGATTTCTTTTGTATGCTATTGTTCCTACGGTATATAAACATGAATATATGAATATACACCCCCCCAATTAAGCGGTCTAGCTACGGTCCTGAATACTATATAGCCCTGTAGTCATAGCTAATCTTGCACATACGCACCTCGTTGCAATATTATATATCCAAACACTTTTTTTAAGCTCAGCTCCATATGTATATATATATATATATATATCCCGGACTGAAACAATTATAGATATTTCTGAGATGACAAATCGATTTGACTTTGGATTTCTACCTCAGTAGTACTTTGCGATTATTTAGCGATATAATAAAGCTTAACAAAAGTAGTTATTCAATAATAGTTATTTAGGTAATTCAATTTTTATCCATTTTTCGTAAAGGTCAGGCCGTACCGTGGGCAATTGTATGTGGGGTGTTTTTCAATAGAGAGTTAACGATTCACGACGCGGCTAGAGAAGACGCGTTAGAAAGGCTTGGTAACAAGCGCGGTCCAAGCCACTTGGTCCTATTTTACGTCCTACGTTACGAAACACAACAAGCTAGGGTAAAACATCAATTTTGGCGGAAAAATTTTGGTTTTTCAAAATCTTTAGGATAAAAGTATGGACCTTCTAATGTATATTAAAAACGCAATGTGATAACAAATTTATTTGTACGAAAATCAACGATTGAATACCATAGAAAATGTAGTTAAAGGACTTAATTCCAATTTTGAATGAAAAAATAGTCGATATTCATATTCGTAGCGTAGTGTTCACAACGTAAAATTAACAAAATTCCGTCGAAGACGCGTTAGCTGGGCTTGTCACCAAGCCTTTCTAACGCGTCCTCCCTAGCCGCGTCGTGAATCGTAAACTCTGTAATAGCAGTTTACCGACGAAGGCAATGATTTGTTGACCAAGTCTCTTTGCGAAGTTTGAAAATTTTTATACGTAAATTACCCAATTTTATCGAAATTTCTGCAAATTCAGGGGGAACAAGTGGACTACTCATTGGTGGATTGTGATCTCCAACCGGCGTGAAGAGCTGCATGGGAGGATACTAAATCCGCCCGGAGATTTTAATTATGCCCAGGGGTGCAAATGCGAAATTGAGGAAGGGCGCCTTCTCATTATATGTTTTCATGTATTTGTTATTAGCTTTACCGAATCTATTGGCTATATATGACATACCACCCCGCATACCGTTTTCAATAAATTGGAACATGTTAATATCTATTAATAATTCTAATTTTATATCAGTCATTTTTAACATATGTAGCGTCCCAAGATAGACCTGGACTAGTGAGGTATTTACATGGATCCAATTTGTAGTATTCTAGACATGTTTTTCTAAAGTTTTCAAACGCATCAGCTAATAGGAGAACGTCAGATTTAAGATATAAATCATGGTATTCCCCCATGTTTTTAAGAGAAAATGTATCCCAAACGGTTTGGGTATGTTTATAGTCTTTGTTTGAGATATGCTCATCATTTAGAATACTATAGAAGTCTTCTTTTGTTGGTAGTCCCTAATTGAATTTATCAAATGAGTCCATGTAATCATAAGGGTAGACACCTTTTTTTAGGCATCAAATCAAGTTTCTCACCTTTAAATTCTTTTGAGGTATATTTTAGATAAATATAATTTGGTTTCATACATGTTTGGGTTCTATTTATACAATTTCTACATTCACCACACGGAAAGCTGGTTTTATGTTGTATAATCTTACCTTTATTGTTAATATGTCGTTTTATACATTTATCAGGGTTGCATGTTTTACATTTTCCACATTTGGTTAGGTTTTTAACAAGGTTTTCTAGACTAGAGCTCATAAATTGGAAACTATCAATGAAGGTTAGATGGTTACCAAGCGTGAAAGCCATATACTTTTCCATGTTGTTGGGAATAGCGTTAATATTCATCTGTGTTTCTCCTCCTCTCTTGTTTTTATATGTATGTTTCTTAACAATAGCTCCAATTTCTTGCATGATAAAATGAGGGTCATAACCTCTTAGATTATGAAATATAACAGGAATTTTTATTTCTTCTGGATTTATTCCAAGTCTCAGATTACAGTCTTGATGTGCTGAACCTCTGTATTTGCCAGTGATATGGCAATGATCTCGAACTCGAATGTCTTTCTCAGTATATTTTTTATCACAGATGTGACATTCTTTTGTTTTTTTAAATTCCTCTTCATCATCAGAGGTCATTTTTAATGGTTGATTAAAATGTTATATTCTTTTATAATATTTTTACAATAATTAACTTCGATCTTTTAACATCTTTTCCATAAATTTGTATACAGTCTCTTCTCCTCTATATAGTAGTATTGGTTTTGTGTATTTGTCATCATAACAACAAACAACCTTGTATCCATAACCACAATCTGTATATTTTTGGTAGGCTTCAGTATATGATTTACCATCTATCCATTGACAACCATATATCTTTTCTGTTATATAGGTTCAAAATCTGCATATATGACAAATGGTACTTGTTGTTGTTTATGGAAGTTGTTAAATTTTAGTATATTATCACCCTTTTTAGGCATTTGCACTGCCTGTGTTCCATTTACTTGAATACAATTATCTTTATGATTGTCTAGGATTTTTTGAGTGCTGAAACATTGAAGACAATACATACAAAAGTGTTTTCTTTCTTTATGTTTTGTTTGTTTATACATAAGCTTATTAAATTTTTGATGAGTACATAATGTTTATTCTCATTTTCTGTAATCAATAATAGGTTCATATGATTGTTATATTTTTCTTTTGAAACATATATTGGATATGATTGTTTATCTTCATATCCAAAAACATTTATGTTTATCTTATTTTGTCTTTCGATTTGGTTATAGTGTTTTTAACTTACAGGGAATTCAATTCCTGAATAGTCTAGATTTTTAATATATTCTTTGTCTAATTTCTTAATCCTTTGTGGATATTTGTCTTGGGGATTTAAGTGTCTAATATGACACCATCTAAAGCATTCATTATCATTATTTTTCATATTAATTAGTCCTTTAGCTTGATTGAATAGTCCAACCAGATCCTTCAGATATATCCATTGAGCGATAGTATTCAATATTTGTTGTTTTGACAATTGTAGGGTCAGGGATCTCTTGATCATTAATAATAGTTTGAGCTTTACAATGAAAGTGTGCAGTTTTATAAATAGTTATTTTATCCGCATCGTCTTTTTTAAAGATAACCTTAAGGGTCTCAATATATTTAAATCCTTTCATTAATGTTAATATAACTATCTTTCATTTTAGATTCGATAGCCTTTCTTGTGCTTTGTAGTTGCACTAATGGGTCTATATTGTTTTCAATGTTTATTCTATATGATTTAGTGTAACCATCTCTGTCCTTGATGTTGGGACTATAGGTCCTCCAACCATTCAGATGGTGGTTGAGGAAATGTGTTGTCATCATCATCTGAGACTAAATCCTCCAACCATTCCGATGGTGGTTGAGTTATTTTTTTGTCCTCAAACTCTTGAACAATTTGTTTCACACTTTTACTAAGAGGTGAAATTGGTACATTAGTCCTTCATGATGGAACTGATTTGACTCTAGACTTAACAAGCTCACTTTCTTGTTTTAATAGCATTTCAATAAGTTCTGATCTACTCAGTTTTTGAAGATCGTTTTTATTCATATTATAACTATATATAATATATAGATATTTCTTTAAGTCTTTTTTTTATAGTGCGTTTAAAATTAACTAAATGTTTGGTCGTTTTTAAACAATGATAGAATTGGTTTATTATACATTGTTTATGGCTTCAGTATTTCTAATATCCTTTTTGTTTTAATATGGGTCCATTTTCCAGCTAATGTATAATCCCGATTATAACATACTGAACACCGCCACTCTTTGTTCAGCATATATTTGGTCTTGTTCATCTTGTTTTCTTTCTTCTTCGTTAAAATATTTTATTGGTCTTCCCATTTATATAATACTGTATATATAACTATAACTATAATAACTATATATAACTATAACTATATATATAATATATAATATATAATAACTATATATAATATATAGATATTTCTTTAAGCCTTTTTTTATAGTGTGTTTAAATATAGTCAGAAACGATCATATTTTTGGCTATAATAGCAAAAAGCAGTATATATTGAGTGTGCGTTAGATATAGTGCTTTCTTAAACCATGTCATACATTAATTCCTTAAATCCTTCTTTGATATCCAACTATTAAACTCATCGCTGTAACCTTTCCACTTTACTAAAGCTTGTTTCTTCTTATAATCTCTCCTAATGACCTTATCAATTCTAAATACGTCCTGTTTGACCTTTAATAATTCAGGCTCATAAATACTCCCTTCAGTCCCTTGAATATCTTCACCTCTGAGATCTTTTAGTTTGTCTGTTATTGGATTAGTGGATGTATTGGATTTTATGTATTATAAATAATTCTTCTGTCCAATTAGGTGTGTATCCTTTATCAAAGACCTTTCTTTTGTACTTCGATATACGAACCTTATCACCAATCTTAAACTTTGCTTTGGATCTTAATTGTTGCATATCCCTGTAGAGATTAAAGTAAACAACTCCTTCGTTACTCTTCCTACTAGCTGCACAGGTGACATTTTTATTGAACTATGTTTAATGTTATTATACTCTTTTAATATTTTAGGTAATATGTCTATATACCGTGTATTACCTTGGACTGTCTGTGAACTGCTTCCACGTTTTGTTTTTAATCGTACGATTCCATCTTTCTATTATTGATGATTTTCCCTCATTCTCATTATTGGTTTGTGTAACTCGTCCGCTAATTGTTGTTGCCAGCTTTCTTCACTCGACGGCACA